CACGGGTGGACGGACGGGTACTCACTCACTCACTCACTCACTCACTCACTCACTCCCGGGGTCATGGTCTGACAAACCCGGGAGCACGAAAGTTTGTCGGTCTGTCCTTGTGCCTCCCGGTGATCCATCGTGAAAAAAATTTATTAAAAAAAAAATGATAAAAAAAAAAAAAGAGGAAAGCCAGCCGGCCGGCCAGCAAGCCGGCAAGGAAAAGAGTACATCCTGAGGAGATACCGACCGACAGGACCAAATAGAGAATTATATACATAAAAAAGCTATTTATTAAAAAAAATAGGTTTATGAGAGGGAGGGAGGGAGGGAGGGAGAGAGAGAGAGAGAGAGAGAGAGAGAGAGAGAGAGAGAGAGAGAGAGAGAGAGAGAGAGAAGCCAGCCGGGCAGGCAAAGAGTACATCCCGAGCCCACACAGGACCAAAGAGGCAAAGCAGGGCCTGGATGTTGCTGGTGGAGCACGGGCACGGTTGGACGGACGGGTACGCACTCACTCCCTCCCGGGTCATGGTCTGACGGACCCGGGAGCACGAAAGTTTGTCAGTCTGTCCCTGGGCCTCCCGGTGATCCATCGTGAAAAAAAATTATTTAAAAAAATTATATAAAAAAAAAAGAAAAAGAGGAAAGCCGGCCGGCCGGCCGGCCGGCCGGCCGGCCAGCCAGCAAGCCGGCAAGGAAAAGAGTGCATCCTGACTCATGGAATCGTGTCATAATGACTACATTAAAAAAAAAAAAAATACGTGAGTTGATGTCAATAGGCAAGCCAGCAAAGCTAAGAAAGCGAGCAAGCAAGCAAGCGAGCTAGCAAGCTAGCAAGCTAGCAAGCCAGCAAGCTAGCCAGCCAACAAGCAAGCAACAAACAAGCAAGCAAGCGAGCGACAGAGTCCACCCTGAACACCGACAGAACAAAATAGAGAAGCAGGGCCTGGATAGGGGCGGTGGAGCATGGGCACGGGTGGAGGGATGGGTACTGGATGATGGTATGTCGCCGATCATGGTAAGACAGACACGTGAGCACGAAAGTTTGTCAGTCTGTCCCTGTCCCTCCAGCTTGTCCCTTCGTGAAAAAAATTAAAAAAAAAAAAAAAAAAAGAGGAAAGCCAGCCGGTCAGCCAGCAAGCCGGCAAGGAAAAGAGTACATCCTGAGGAGGTACCGACAGGACCAAAAAGAGAAATATATATATATATGTGTGTGTGTGTATATATATGTGTGTGTGTGTGTGTGTGTGATTTATTAAAAAAATTAATTTATGAGAGAGAGAGAGAGAGAGAGAGAGAGAGAGAGAGAGAGAGAAGCCAGCCAGCAGGCCGGCCAGCCAGCCAAAGAGTACATCCCGAGCGCCGACAGGACCAAAGAGAAAAGCAGGGCCTGGATCTGGATCTTGCTGGTGGAGCCACGGCACGGGTGGACGGACGGGTACGCACTCACTCCCTCCCTCCCGGGTCATGGTCTGACGGACCCGGGAGCACGAAAGTTTGTCAGTCTGTCCCTGTGCCTCCCGGTGATCCATCGTGAAGAAATTGATTTAAAAAAAAAAAAAAAAAAAAAAAAAAAAGAGGAAAAGCCAGCCGGCACAAGAGCACATCCTGAGTAGTACAGACAGGACAAAATGGAAAAGTTTTTTTTTTTTTTTTTCTTTGCAAAATAGAAAAGCTGCGTGAGTGAGGTACCGGGAGGAAGGGAGGAAGCATGAAGTGGGTGTCGACAGGGAGGAATGCCCGTCCCTTGAAATCGGGGTGCAGTGTTCAAGGGCCTGGCGCAGTCACTTAGCTTGGGCCTCTTCTCCTGGTGCCGCCACACTCTCCGCCTCCCTCCCAGGGAAAGTGCTCTATGCTGAAGCCCCGTGGCACTGTTCCCCGGGCCACGCGCTCGCCTCCTCGCCCCCCACTGCCCCCCGCCCTTCCATGAACTCATTCGTGGACAATCCCTCAGTCAGGCAGGTCAGGTAGGTCCCGTTGGTTTCTTGAATTCAGAATGCCATCTCACTCCCCTTTGGACCCCAAATAGGAGTCGGCCTCCCACGCAGCACTCCCTCGGAGTTCTTCTCGAGAAAGGAAACCTCTGGGATTCCTCCCTCCCTCCCTCCCTCCCTCCCTCCCCCCCCCCCCTCCAGAGACTCCCCCTCTCCCCAACCAACCCCTGGCGGCGCGGATGATGACTCGGACTACACCAATGATCGATTTATGGATTGATTTATTGATTTCTTGGGGTGGGGGTGGGGGTGGGGGTGGGGGTGGGGGTGGGACCGAAAGCCGGGCGTGCCTGTACTGGTCTAACCGGTTTCGAGGCCGAGTCCGTCTTCCTGTAGAGCCGGAGAGGGCGGGTGGACCACAACTCCCAGAGTGCTCCACGTCGCCGCCGCCGCCGCCGCCGCCGCCGCCGCCGCCGCCGCCGCCGCCGCCGCCGCCCCAAAGGGGGGGGAATGAATGAATGAATGAATCAATAGATAAAATAAAATCAAATAAAAATCAAGCAAAACAGAAACCAAAG